AATGGTTGCTTTTAGCGAAACTCCATCTTGACTGAATATCGCGTGACAAGAATTTAGTACAATCCACTAGTTTATGTGATTGTCCACACTCTAAACAAACCACCTTTTGCTCCGGCTGTACATCATTATTATAAAGAATGCGACGAGTAGAACCGCTGCTTTGACGAGTAGTATTGCGGGGCTGCGCAGCTGGCATGTCCGAAACACCCGGCAGTAACGACACAAATCTGGCTATTTCGCTTAACCAGTCACCAAAATCTTCCCCTGTTGGAAACGGCAATATATTGGCGCCCGTTGGCTCCATTCATATTGTTTGTTTTTAACTTTTGGTACGTCCTCCGGAGAAATCAGAAGTGAAGTAACAGCACGTTTAGCGACGCCTTGTAAAGCTTTATGCAGGCGCATTAGGTTTTGTCTATGGCTATACTGAAACTCATGTGTAGTGTCGTTGTAGTTGGCCAAAAATAACGGCCAATCCTCCGGATTTCCATCGAAGGACGGCAATGGAAACAATTTAGCGGCGGAATTGTCCATGCGTCGACGTACGCATAGGCGGCGCGGCGTTGTCGGATGCGGCAGCGTTGGCAAAGCTGTCGCCGACTTGTGGCCTACTACGCAAAGTTTGAATTCGCAATTCGGCAACACATTCCCGAAGTGAGGTTATGCTAGAAACCAACAATGCAATCTGGTCACATGGAATGGCAACTTGTTGCACTTCTAATGAATTTTCCGATTGTTCCATGTCGTTTACTGTAGAACTGTACTCTGACTCGCAAATGGATTCCGAACTGCTTCCAATATTTTCAGCTTGGGATTGTGCACCGCAAACAGCTTCTGTGTTATTTCGAATTTCCTTTGCTTTGGCTCTAGTCAGCATTGTATGCAGCAAAATTACGCAGGAAAAGCAAATTTTAAACTATGTCGGCAATATGATGAAAACGACGTTAATTTGTTTTATTAAAATGTATTTATTAATTAAAAGGCGTGGTTAAAATTTGGTATCTTTTCCAAGCGTTGGTTTTACGACGAATCACTCGAAGCTTTGCGAAATAGCGAAATTCCAATCGCAATGTTCGAAAAAGTATACATACATATAAACCAGCATATAAACGGTTTTTAAAGAGAATACAAACTATTAATGTTAGCAAACGATCAAATTGTATATAATATTAATAAATACATAAAGCAATCTTCGAAAATGAGAGGATTGAGAGGATTCGAAACTAGATACATAAATGAGTGATAGAACATCTGTTTTAACTTATTTGCTATCAGAGTTGTATTTTGCTGCTGGTGGTGGTTTACACGCACCTTGTAATGGGGGTATTCAGTAATCTCGCCAACAATGGCAACTGCTCCCCTGCTGGCAATTGCCGAGTTCACACACTTCAGCCACTGCTGAAATTTACCTATTCGACGCTGTGCCCCGAATAAAGCTCAGACGATGACACGGGAGAATTTTCACTTGTGGCGTTGTTCTCATAAAATGGTTTGAGATCACTCACGTACGCTGTTCTTCTTTTCCCTTTGTGCACCTTGTCGAGTTCCACGATCACGGGGGAAATAAAATTTAGAACGCGATGTGGTCCGCCGTATTTCGATGCGAGTTTTTCCGCGAAGTTGTCCACAGCTTTGGAGAGGTAGTGCTCCCGTACCAGCACCTTGTCCCCCATGGCTGGTTGCCACGATCTTCTCCGCAGATTATAGTGCCTCGCTTGTTCTGTGGTAGTCTTCTGCTGGTTTCGTCGTACTAGGTCGAATACCTCTTTCATTCTCGCCGCTTTTACTTGTGGTGGTGTGGCACCTTGGCCAGTTCGTAACATATTCTCGTCATACAATGCGTTCGGTAACCTTGGTTCTCGCCCTTGGACGACGAACGTCGGGCTGTAACCCATTGCGTCGCACACGCTGGTGTTGAGGGCCAAAGTCATTTCTGGCAACAGATCATCCCAGCTCTTCTGGTCTTTGCCTGCGAACTGCGCCAGTAGTCGCTTGCTGCTACGGTTAGCTCTTTCCGTCGGATTTTGCTGCGGTGTGTACGCAGCAGTAAATTGGTGCCTTATTCCCATCCCCTCCAGGAATAGCTTAAATTTCGAGCTGGTAAATTGCGTTCCATTATCCGTGATCAAGATTTTTGGAATGCCGAATTTGCCGATAATCCGCTCTCTTACTGCTCGAATTACTCCCTCCGCTGTTGCCTTCCACATTGGTACAATCTCAACCCATCTTGAGAAACAATCTAGTATTACCAGCGCCATAGTGTTTACATGCTTGGGTCGCGGAAGAAGCCCTATGAAATCAGCACACGCCGTCGCCCAGGGTTCCTCCGCTAGCTGCGTCAGCATCTTTCCGGCTGCTTGCTGCTGACTTGGTTTGTAAAGCTGGCAGGTCTCACGTTGTCGCGCATACTTCCTCACGTCGCTGAACATGCCCGGCCAATAATATCGGCTGTCGCCCGCGCTATCGTTTTTCAGATCCCTGCACTGGGAATATCGTGAATTTCCCTTAACACCCCCTGCCTTTGCTCTGTCGGTACACATAATTTCCATGGAAACACGTCTTCACCGCCGATTTGGCCTGATATTCGCCTGTACAGCTCACCACTTTCGATGATAAAGTCAGGAAACTTCTGTGGGGACCTCTCCACCTCCGCCATCTTGTCTTTCAGCCACTTTCACTCTACCGCTATTCCTCCCGCCGTCATCGAACCAAGCAATATTTCCTGGGGCTGTCTTGACAGCGCGTCTGCTACCACATTCAGCTTACCCTTGCGATACTGCATATCGAAGGAGTCTGCTGCAGTTCCAGCGCGCACCTTGCAATCCGACCGGATGGGCTCTCTATCTTACTCAGCCATTGGAGTGCTAAGTGGTCAGTGATGACGGTAAACGTGTATTCTTCTAGGTAGGGTCTCATCTTCCTCATCGCCTACACTATGTCCAGGCACCCTTTCTCTGTTGGTGAATAATTGAGTTCGGCTTTGCTGAGCCGGCGACTCGCGTATGAGATTACGCGTTATTCTCCTTTAATCTCTTGCGTGAGAACAGCTTCCAGCCCGAAGTCGCTCGCGTCCGTTTGTAGAGTGAACTTCTGCGTAAATTCGGGGCAAGTCAACACTGGTGCCTCGGTTAACGCGCTCTTCAGCCCCTCGAACGCTGTCTGTTGCTCATCGTTCCATTTCCACTTGTGGCCCTTCTTCAGCATGGACGTCAGCGCATGTGCCACTTTGGAAAAGTCGGGGACAAATCTTCGGTACCATAAATCTACCCCTAGGAACCTGCGTAACTCTCTTGTATTTGTCGGTGGTGTCAGCTCTTTGATAGCCGCGACTTTCTCAGGATCGGTATGAATGCCCTCCTCGCTGACGATGTGACCCGGATACTTCAACCGCTTCTTGAAAAACTCGCATTTTTCAGGGTTGATTCTCAGATTCGCCTGCCTAAGTCGCCGGAAGGCCTCCGAAAGATGTTGGACGTGCTCCTGCAGGGTCGCGCTGACGACGATGATGTCATCCAGGTAGCAAACGCATACGGCTCTAGGTCTGGACCGATAACTTGGTCTAACGCACGCTGGAACGTCGCGGGGGCG